TTACGTCATCTGTCGCATTATGAAACACCCATCCATACAACACATATTCGTCTCTACCCATCCATAATCCATACAATTTGACACATTATCTGCCGTGTCAGTGAACGTCCTTTTCGCCGCATCTCTACCGCGCCCCCGGTTGCACTCGATCTCACACCCCCTTCCCCGCGTGCCCGTCCTCTCGTGCACGCACCTGCCTCCCTCCCCCATCCCGCCCCCCGTCAGCGGGGCGAGTGAGTGACGCAGCATTACGCGGCCGTGTGCGCGAGGTGCAAAGCCTACCTGCACGCTATCTCCGCCATCGTATCGGACGATAAATTGGGCGGGAACAGCGCAGAAAGACGCGCAACGGGTGGCGAGCCGATTGCCAGAAGTCAGGGCAAATGCAATCAAAGAGAGAAGCTTCGGCGGTCGTGTGCTACGACGACGACGACGACGACGGATGCGAGCGCACGTGAACGTCGCCGCGGATTGCACAACGCACGGACCGCTCTATTTGTCGACGTACGGCGGTACCTGCAAATATCCGCCCATCGGCAGTATATACCCGCAGCAGTAGCAGCAGCAGTAGCAGCAGTAGTAGTAGCAACAGCCGATATTAGACGCAGGTTCAACAACTGCTTCTTTTAATATCGGAGACTTCTAGCCAGAGTTTTTGTCGCCATGCTGACAGAGGAACGTACGTGAGAGACACGGAGACAGGATACTAGTATAGTAATCCGCATATAGTGAGTGCGCGGGCGCGGATGTGCGACGGCTCAAGTGTTTGTTGCAGACACGCGGGCTGTGAGAACGAGCCTGCAGACGACAACACCACGGCTGATAGCGCGGCGGAGCTTGCGCGGTTGACACGGAGCTTCTACGCCTGTACGGAATACGGCAAGCGTTGATTCGACGACTGGAGATATCTCACGCTAGTTATACGCTGAGTCGGCGACTCGTGTACTTCTTCATGGACTCGCTGCGGTTGACAGAGGGCCTGAGATCGTGACGAGCGTAAACGGAAAGCATCATAACCACCCGCAGCGTCGCCGGCAACAACAACAACAACAACAGCAACAGCAGAAACAGCAGCAGCAGCAGCAGCAGCAGCAACAACAACAACAACAGCAACGACGACGACGACGTCGTTGTCATAATCATCGCTAACAATAAAATCACCAGCAATCGCAGCGTTGAGCATATATTCGTAGTTTTCGTGGCTATCCATCGCGCCACCGACCCGGTGCGATATCTGGGTTGAGAGCTGAGCCGTCCACCCGTCAGCTAACCACTCGGCATGCCGCCGAGGTGATTTGCCGACGTTCTGACAAGAACACGGCAGAGGAGCTGTTGGATTCTATAGTCGAGTGGGACAGGGCAAACAGAGGCAGACAGCGCGATGACACGTGCTGGCGTGGCACGGCGCTCAGGCTAGGCGGCTTAGCACGGTTACCGTGTATATATATATATATATATATATACCCGTACATCCATTACCGCGGATGAGCGGACGATGACGATAGAAGACGCGGTTGTCTATTAACGGCGAGTCTCCGACACCGACTGACGGGATGAACGCCGATCGTAAGAAAACGAAGAAGATTAAAAAAGGTATAGTTGACAAACGCGCGTGTGTATGCATGCGCGCTGAGTTGCCGCGTTGGGCCGAGAGAAGACGCCTAAACAGGAGTCTAACGCCGAGGGGAGTATGATCACGCAAGGCTCTGCGTTCTATCAAAAAAACCACGTGCTAACTGTAAAGTATTTTAAAGTAGTTGACAGCGTGGTGTGGGCTACAATAAAAATTCAATTGGTGTAAGATCTAATTAACTAGTTCTCGGCAACTAGTGCATAAAATCCCCATCAAATCGACCCACATACTGAAACGTTATAACCTAACTAATACTAAAGAATTACAATTTAAGAACAAGAACAACTAATATAGTATGTAACATATACTACAATTTGGCTAAAAATAACTGGATATTCTGGGTGTATCGTTGTTTTAAAGAAAACGATATACTGATCGCTATAACGAAATGGTCACAGGAATAATACCAAGAAAATTTCAGTTTCTGCAATGAACTACACATTAAAATATAAACATTTGGCGAATGAAATATTGATTTGATGCAGTGAATCACGCAAACAAATGTTAATTTGCATATTAGTCGCTAAATAATTTAGCCAGACAATCGTCGCTGTTGCCTGATTTTTGAATCTGTGTTTACTGCACGAGTCGTACCCGCACACAAACTACATACTACATATGAGAACATGTGTGAACTCACGAACAACGGAGCTATTTATGAGAACACCTAACAACCTATAAATTTAATTTATATTAGAACAAGTATGACCGCGTGAATAACCGAATTATATAGAAGGACGCACTTGAACCCGTGAACAACTGAATTATATAAGACAAGTGTGAACAACCGAATTGTATGTGAGAATGTGTGAACATGTGAACAGTTGAACTGTGTATGGGAACTCGTGTGAACTCATGAACTGAGGATAGTACGTACAGCAACTCATATATGCTATGTTTGAAAACACAGCGCATCGTTATATATATATATATATATATATATATATAATATATATATATAATTATATATTCATATAATATATATATATATATATATATATTATATACATATATATATTATATTTATTTATTTATTTATTTATTTTATTTATTTATTTATCGCAATGGAGGATCGGCGAAATTTTGCTGCACGGTTAATAATAGTACAAGCAAAGAAATAGGAGTTAGGCAAGGTTTTCTGGGGCTGGATCTGCAAGATCACTGAGCAGCAACTGGGAGAAAATAGATATATATATATATATATTTATATAATAATATAAATATATATATTTATATACATATATATAAATATATATCTTTCTCCCAGTTGCTTCTTTGTGATCTTGCAGATCCAGCCCCAGAAAACCTTGCCTAACTCCTATTTCTTTGCGTGTACTATTATTACCCGTAGCAGCATAATTTCGCCCATCCTCCCATTGCTGCTGTTTGTAATCTTTCTTTTTTATTATATTACATTTTTATTAAAAAATATTTGGTAAACAGCAGCAGGAGCGAATGCTTTTTACTGGCTTGTATAAAGCTCGGTAAAATTGAATTAATTTGGGAATGCACGCCTGTGCTTATTACATCTATATCGGTAGAAGTATAGAGATAGATACATGGACATGCAATATTTTTCTCGTAAAACTACATGTTTTGAACAGCGTTTACCATGGCAGCTCTGTGGGTGGTCGAGTTCTCTTGTGTGCCTATATTGCTTTCAACCAACTTGACGTAAGCGTCATCTACTCTCTTTCATTGATGATCCAAAACCGAGACGAAAAACCTTATCTAGTTATATTTTATTGGAACAGGTATAGCTTTGGTAGGTGCGCTGACCCTTTTTTTTAACCTTTATTTAACGTACAGAGAACGTGAACTTATTTATTTCTTTTTTGCACTTGCACAGTAGTTTATTACAATAATCTGCAACGGGTTTACCCTGTATATGTATATTTTATCTATGAATAGTAGATACATACAAGAAAAAGCATAGCAGTGTCATAATATTTTTAGGTCAGTCTATCAAAACCAAAAGCATCGTTCAGGAATTGCGACAGGTTTCCGCAAATTGTTGATGTGACCTACGCTTACACATAAGCGCTCCATTTACGCATAAGAAGTTATTTCAAACTACCGATTTTAAAACGAGTTGTGAGTTGTACTAACCCGACTATCAACATTCTGTGTACATTAGCCAGGCCGTATCGTTGGGTTGTAATACACTGAGGAACGAGCATACGGAATGGTCAGTATGTCACTGGTGACGAGATAGCTGCCGTGTATTTTTCCTAAAGTATAAATGCGTAAATTGGCATTCCACTGTTTGCATGAAATCCTGAATCGATGGTTTATAATTGTTAACAGGTGGTATATAGCACCACTCAGATTTGTAATAATTATAATATCGTAGTTTATTAGCAATCACTATAATCGGTATTTTAAGAAACACGCTTATATTATTTGTGAGTGAATTGTAACATGCAATAATCGACCGTCATTGTAGGTTTAGCTGTTACTCACAATTGTTTTAGACACATGTAGAATACAGTGTCATTATTAGCTGTTAATCACAATTGTTTTAGACACATGTAGAATACAGTGTCATTATTAGCTGTTAATCACAATTGTTTTAGACACATGTAGAATACAGTGTCATTTAGTATTTGCGCACTTGTGTGAGGAGCAAGTGTCGGGTGAGAAAATGTTGCGTGAGCAATTGTCATGGAACGTAGGAAAACACCACTCAGAGAGGGTTATTATTATCATTATTATTATTATTATTATTATTAAACAATATTAATATATTATAATATTAATATTATTGATTATATCGTATTCATATTATTATAATTATTATGTTTATTGTGCACACATTAATTGTAGTTTCCACATTTAGTGTGGCGATGTTTTCGTGATCGCATACGTATTGTCTATACAGATCATTAGCAGCGAGTCTATATAATGTCCTTCCCCGATCTTATATAGTAGGTCTCAGAGGAGAGATAGTGAATGTAAAAATAAGTTGTGGATATAGAAATGAGTTAACCCTAACCATAACCCTAACCATAACCCTAACCATATCCCTAATTCTAAAATAAAACAAAATTAGCCAAAAATAATAAAAAATAAAATAAATAAGAGACAAAATGAGCCAATCAGAGCCGTTCCCTAACGGATCACTATCTCTTCCATGTGCAAAATTCGATCTTATAACCTTGCGGCCAACCCGTAGAAAAAAACTATAGTAACAGAACTGTCAATCCGTCATTGCTGCGTGAGTTGGCGCATCATATAAGGGTAACTAACCGAGCGTTTTCCATTCACCAATGTGTCATCCTAATAAATCATTGATTGCAATTTGCTGATTACCTCTCTTTTAATGTATTTCTTTCGATTACATAATATAATTGGGCGTGCTCATTAGTTTCAGACGAGCTAGGTGAGGGCGGCGATTCCCATGCGCGCATGGAGCTGAAGAAGAAACTGCAGAGAAACCGCACGTCGTTTACCAACGAGCAAGTCGAAGCTCTGGAACGCGGTAATTACACGTGACTGTTTGTCATTTACATGCGCGCACACGCACGCGCGCATTATTAGTTCAATTATATTCACGTTAAATGAATTACAGATTTAGGCGTTGTTGCATCGGTGAGTCGATGTTGTCCGACAAGTCTCTACGCAAACATAACTAGGATTTTAAATACAAATTTTAACAGTGAAATGGTAGCGTCGCGTTGCTGCACCAACTGAGGTGGTACGTGCGCTCATAATATGAACCGACAGACGGATGACAAAGCAGTTTTGTATTAACTTTTAGTTAGGTTGAACATTTAGCACCAGAATGGGAGTTTTGATATTGCGTGTTAGTTTGTGTAGATACAACGTGATGGCGTTTATCACAACAATACGTTCGCTCCGTTGAGGAGCTTGCACGCTCCTCACCTTTGCCAATGTACCTTTATTAAATCAATAAATGTAATAATAATAATGCGTTTTTTATCATGCACACCTAGCAAATAATCGTGGCAGACGTGCACTGAGAAAGCGCGAATATATGTATCATTTCCCGTGCCCTACAGAGTTTGAAAGAACGCATTATCCGGATGTCTTTGCGAGAGAGAGATTAGCTGGCAAGATAGGCCTACCTGAGGCCAGAATACAGGTGAGCTAATTGAGATAGCACTTTAGATAGAGAAATTGTAAAGTTAATAGCCGTGCACATATTTACAATAAGCGCCTAAACACTAGCGTAATAACCCTTGAAGTGGCGCAGGGGGAATTTACATCCTTAATATATTATTAAAAACGAGTTTAGCGTCGAAGTGCGAAACGCCTTCGCTTCTGACCGAGGAAACAATTTTGCATAATGGTCGAACATTTTAAACTGGAAGCACGCGCTGCATTCATTTTACACTCCGTTCATTCTGAGTGGCGTCTTGCACACAGATGCCGATCAAAGGTCGCTTATAGCGATGGATGCGCACGCATATCTGCTGCGATTACCGCCCAGGATCCGCACGCATACGTCTAACATTCATCTTAACAAATAATTTATCTTCTTCATTGAGCCACGACTCGATGTAAAGCGATGCGGTCAGCTCGATTCATGTCAATCTCGACATCGCGTTATAGGTCTGGTTTTCTAATCGGCGAGCAAAATGGCGGAGAGAGGAGAAGCTGAGAAGTCAGCGGCGAGGCCAAGACAGCTTCCCCGTAGCCACGACCACCTCCGCCGTCTCCTCCGTGGGACGCCTCCCCATCAGCAGTTGTTTAACGGCAAGCGTGTACCCGTCGATGCCACAGCCACCCACCGAGACGTACGGGTAAGAGAACAGCAATCATGAACACGCACACAGAACTTACACAGAACGACTGACGGCGTCCGATCACGCAGCCATGAATGAAATATAATTAAATTGAAAAGGCAAATAAAATAAACAATAACTTGGCACTGCGTAAGTTAAAGTGAAGCGACGTCTAATGTTACTTCATAATACGAATCAACAAAGCAACTAGTAACGACGTGACAACGTTATAATACAATAAATGTTGCCAAATAAACTTAAAAATAAAATAAATATAAAAATTGCCATTTTAATTAAAGAGATGTTACTTAAAAATCATGCGTTAATATTTGCTAATTTCTGTTAAAATTACCAATAATATTATTAGTTTTTATATTTATCATGGTTTTTGTTAAAATATTATCTTTTAGATCTTTATCTTCTTTATTATTTTATTTTTAGTGAGTTTCGTTAGTATAACCTCACGTAAATCGTACGATAATTTCCCGTCACACAGTCTACTCTTACCTCTATAGGTCCGTCGCTCAGATGCCGAGTTACGGAATGAACAACGGCACTCAGTCTTCTACGTGCCTGCAGCAGCAGCGAGACGCCTCCTCTTACCCGTACAGCATACCCGCTCCTACACGCGGCTACGACCCTCTCTCCAGCCTAGGTGGCTACTCCAGAGGGCCGGTGAGCTCAGCTAACGTGGGCATGCAGGGAATGGAAGGCCACCTAAGCTTCAGTAACGCGTCCAGTACTGGTAAGCGAACCTGTTGTATATATATATATATATATATATATATATATATATATATATATATGTGTGTGGCAAATAAAATATATAGAATGACTCTGACGTATCAAGAATAAAAAGCATTTTGCCCAATATTATTTATTGGCATAACATATGGCAACGATGAATAATGCGTACTCGTGCTTTCTAAAGGAATTCTAGCCTAGAGTATGGGAGGGCTACTACACTTTTCACTGCACTTTTGGCTCCGAACAAACGCCACTCTATGCCTACTCGCTGGCCCCGGGCCCATTTTAACAGGCTGGCTCAGCACGGGCCCCGCGCCGGCCAGAGAAAGGACCTTTTCAACACATACGACGTCTGTTGTTACGTGTTTACGGATGTGCCCCACGTTTTTAGCCGGCGCTGCTATCTGGCGCTCGCATCGCGAGCAGTCCGCTCAACAATGCTACTTGTTCTGTAATCCCGTGCCATCTCCCGGCCGTGAGTCTAACTCGGCCGGACAGCGCTAAATCAGCGGGTATCATCTTCAGCCCGTCTCCCCCCGTACAGCGGCGGGGGTTCGTGGCGCCCGTTCTCAGCCGGGTCCCGGAGAGAGAGAGAGAGAGAGAGAGAGAGAGAGAGAGAGAGGGAGGAAAAGGGGGGGGGTAGGAAAGATGTGTATAGCTTGATGTACGCAGCTGTCAGCGAGGGAGAGGCCACTCTACATTTGGCGCGACTCCTCCTTCTTCTTCTTCTCCTCCTCCTTCTACAATTCTAAATGCACACGCACACACACACACACACACACACACACACACACACACACACA